ACCCGACAGGCTGCAGCACCGGGTACGGGGCCGGGAGGCGGGAGGGAGCCGGAGCGGGCCGTGCAGAGGGGCGGGGCCGGGAGAGCGGGTACCTGAGCGCCGGGCTGGGAGGGGCTGTTCTGAGGGCTCGGAAAGGGCGCTGCCGAGAACTCGCGTAGAGGGGCTCGGAGGCCGGGGCCGCGGACCAGGGGTGGAACCCTAGAGAGCGCTGGGACACTAAAAGAACTGGGGTAGGGGGAGGTGGCTGGGCGTGGACTGGAGAGAACCTGCAGGTAGCCAGGCGAGGGGAGGGGGCGCGGAGGTGTTCCAAGAGGTGACTAGCGGCCGGATTAGGACATGGGGGTCCTAATGTGAGAGCCCATTTGGGAAGGCTTGAGCACATATAGAGGGGGTACAAAATGTAGGCTGGACTGACACCCAAACCGGGGTCAGTGGCGTCGATGCTTGAGAGACCTGGAGAGCTATCGGGTGGGCTCCAGAGACGCTCTGCCGAGTGGCCAGAGTAGAGGGGCAACCCACGAGCTGAGGAGGGCACAAAGAGGGAAGGTAGAGCGAGGTCCTGGTCTTGCTTAGAGGGGTACAGAGATCCCGCGCCTCATTGTGTGGTGGAACAGAGGATAGGAGAAGTTCTCCAAGGAGAGAGCCCCTGGGAACCTTACAGAGGGCTACAGAGTCCAGTGTAGGACTGGAAACAAGGAGGACAGGGGATGCATTTCTGAGCAGGGTACATAGAGGGGAAAGAACAGTGCCCATGAGGCTGAGCTTCCCTCCTCTATGTAACCTTCTCATCCTCTCTCCCATCCTCCAGGCCTCAGCCACCCCTCCGGATGCTGGTGCCGCCAGCCCCCTGCCCCCAGTCCCTGGCGCTTCCCTCTGCTGAGGTGATGGAGGCCCCTCCCCCTCGGACAGGCCGGTCCCCAGAACCCGGACCTTCCTCTTCCACAGGCTCTCCCCAGACTTCATCCCCTTCGAGGCCCAACCACTACCTGCTCATTGATACCCAGGGCGTCCCGTACACCGTGCTGGTGGACGACGATTCTCAGAGGGAGTCCGGGCCCGATGGGGCTTCAGCTCAGAAAAAGTGCTACAGCTGTCCCGTCTGCTCCCGGGTCTTCGAGTACATGTCATACCTTCAGCGACACAGCATCACTCACTCGGAGGTGAAGCCCTTTGAATGCGACACTTGCGGGAAGTCATTCAAGCGGGCCAGCCACCTGGCGCGGCACCACTCCATTCACCGGGCGGGTGGCGGGCGGCCCCATGGCTGTCCGCTCTGCCCTCGCCGCTTCCGAGAGGCAGGTGAGCTGGCCCAGCACAGCCGGGTCCACTCCGGGGAGCGCCCGTTTCAGTGCCCGCACTGCCCACGTCGATTTATGGAGCAGAACACGCTGCAGAAGCACACTCGGTGGAAGCATCCGTGAACCAGGCTGCAGGGTACCCCAGGTACCATGGGCTTCTGGGGGGAGTATGGACTGCTGTCGCACTCAGACACCCTGCGAGCACCAGAGGCTGGGCTGCGGGGCCCTGGAGACAGACACAGACCCATCGAGCCGAGGCCTAGACCGACCCGAAGGAGGAGTCCACCAGTAATCTTCGGGTCCTCTGTGTTCTGGAGATAAGATGGGAAAGAGACCTCACATTAACAGAGTGGCGTCCCCTAGCCTCAGAGACATCAGCTATTCCCTGGCTGAGCCCTGACTGGAGGGGTGGAGGTCAAAGTGCTATGTGTTGAAATTCTCTGGCTTGCAAGCCATGGTTGGGGGGCCATGAGGAATCTGCACCTTCTTCCAGAGGTTTCCCTGTGATGTTGAGGGAAGGGGCGGGGTCCCAGACCTGCCCTCTACTCCCCAGTCAGGGCCTGAGACTGGACATCCAATAAATACATTTTCCACTTTGAGCAGGTGAGGTTTGTTTTGGGGGACTGTGTCTCTGCCCTGTCTAGCAGAGAGACAGCCTCCATTTGGGACTCGGCTCACCTGGCTGGGGAATGAGTAGATGGCCTGCACTGGGGTTAGTCCAAGCTTGCTCCTGACCACCTGTGTCATCTAGGCAGAGTGTTTTTAAACTTTTCTTTCTTTTTTAAAACCATGATCCATTGTAAGAAACACGTTTTATATGGCATCCCAGTATACCCGTACACAAAACATGCGAAACAAAAGTTTAACAATAGTTATCTCTGCCATGTGTAGGTCTCAATTTTTTTCCATCTTTTTTTTTTGAAACTGCCGATTCCAGATTTCATTCAACTATACGAAATTCTCTGCACGTGAACCTGTAATTTGAAAAAACCGATCTAGGGCAGTGCCTCCCCCTGGACGTTTTGACCCAGGCTGGATTTATTCGTAATGTGCAGTGGGTAGGAGTGTGGCCACAGCTTTCTAGGTGGCGCAGACACTTAGGTTTTCCCACTGCACGGTTGACGCATCGCTCTCCTAAGGGCTGGCAAAAATTCCAGAGCGCGGATGTTACTGGGAGAAGAAGGGGCAGGTGGAGCTGGGCCCGGCGCTGCATAAACATCTGCCCTCTTAATGAATTTTCCTTGCGTGGCTGTTTTGTGCCAGGCGTTGTGCTGGGCCTCATTTCTTCTTCCGACCTCTTTTTCGGCGGAAGAACAGATCCGCTGTCTGACTTCGGATAACCCCAACAGTACCCATCTGGAGCCTGACTACGGTCAGGCGCTGGGTTGAGCGTTTTGAGTGTGTCACATCATTGGGTCCTCACGACGAACCTAAAAGGGATTATAATCTCGCTGCTTTACAGGTGAGTAGACTTGAGGCTGCGGAGGAGGAGCGGCCAGGGCTGGGATCTAAGTCTCAGTGTTCCCAAGCCAGCTCTTATTCACTAACACTGGGGTGACGGTGCCGAGGTGGGGAAGATTGTGGTGGGGTTCTAGGTCTCTGTGTCCACGGAGGGGTAACTCATTCCCCCACGATCCTGGGAACCGAGGCTGCGCTGATGCTCTGTGGGAGATGAAGGAGGTCCACACTGGCCAGGTCCCAGGGTATCGCCTAAGGCGATTCTCCCAGAGCTTCAACTTTCCTGGCAGTTCCCTACATTTCCCCGCTTCTCCCGGGGCGATTCAGCGTACCGTCACTCACCCGGGGGACCCCCGGAGCCGCCAGCTCTCCAAGAATTGGGAGTTTCGCGATGTTCCCTGCCCAGGCTTTGCGGAGGGCGGGGGAGTGCTGCAAGGGGCCATCGCGCAAGTGCGGCTCCGGTCTCCACCGCAAACGGCGGGCCTCACCTGGGGCCGGAGATTCCCGGAGAAGGCACGCCAATAGGCGGACCTGGCCGTCCTGGCGTCCCGGCCCTCCCGGTCGCCCGGCTCAGAGACTCGCCGCCCCTGCCGCCCCGCCTGCGCGTGGGTGGTCGCTTTCCTCCGCTCCCCGTTTCTCTTTGCAGACGCTCCCCGGCGCCGAGAATGGGCGCCGCCGCCGCCGTCGGTCCCCGGGCCAGATTCCACGAGCGGGTGGGTGAGCACGGGGCCCCGGCCACTCCGACCCCGGGCACCTGCGGGCCGTGGGGGGGGTGGTGGCCGCGTCGCCACGAATGGCCTGATGCCTCCCCCGCTGGGACTACTTGCCTCCATCGCTTCCAGTCCCACCCACGGGACAATGGGCGGGGGCGGGGGGGGGCTCATCTCCACGCATGACCTTCCCCGCACTGCGCACGCGCCCAGCCCCTCTAGGGGGCACAGGCCCTGCTCGCCCACGCGAGTGCGGGGGAGGGGCGTGAGGTGCCCCTGGTGGGGGGAGGCGCCGCGTGTGGTCTAGATCCCACCCTACGCCTGGAAGTTGGGGCACAATCTCCCTCCCCCGCACCTCTCACTTCTTTGGCCCCGAGGCGACCTGTGATGAGGGTCCGTCCCATTTAGGCCAGGATATCCCCGCTCAGTCGACACCCCCGGGAACCCAGCTCCTTCCTTCTCCAGCCCTCTCATTGTCTAGGAGTCTAGGAGTTCATAACCCTAGGCGTCCTCCCTCAGTCCTGAGGGATCTGGGTCCCCTCCTCCCTTAGACCGGGAGCCTTGGCCCTCAGCACCTCCCTCCCCCCACCCAGTCGTGAGAAGTTGTGCCCCAGCTCCCCCGCGATGTCCCAGAGGGGTCCATCTGTGGCTGCTGTTTCTGTCCAGTGCCCCTGAGGCGCTCAGCTGCTGGGGTCTGCAGGAGGCCACACCATGAATGACCGAAACAGCCGGAGGAGAACAGGTGAGGAAGCCAGGACCCTGCTTTTACCCTTGCTCCTACTGCTGCTTGATTGAGGGCTGGTCCAAGGTGCCCAAGGACTCCCCTGGGGTGACACTGGCCTCTGTTCTCCAGTGAAGAAGGACAATGAGACCTTTGAGATTTCCATCCCCTTCGATGAGACGCCCCACCTAGACCCACAGATCTTTTACAGTCTGAGCCCCTCTCGGGGAAACTTCGAGGGTGAGTTGATGGGGTGGGAGCATCGAGTCCGGTGGGGTATGGGGCCCTTAAGGCCTGGGGGTGACCGGGGTCCCCTGCTGTCCCTAGAGCCTCCGGAGCCTGCATCCCCGACTGTGGCCCTGATGAACGGTGTCAGGGCCCAGCTGCACATGGCCCTGGAGAGGAATTCCTGGCTGCAGAAGCGCATTGAGGACTTGGAGGAGGAGAGGGACTTCCTGAGGTGTCAGCTGGACAAATTCATCTCCTCCGCCCGCATGGATGCAGGTGAGCGGGCGAGTTCCCTCCCTGTCTCACTCCTGGGTACCCGCACCGGGCCTTCCTCAGGGACACAGGGCCCTTCTCACCCACATTCGTCTTTGATGGCTCAGGGGGACCTGGCATCTTTGCCCTCTCCTTGGAATGAACGGTGGAGTCTCTGGGACGCCAAGCCCAGCTTCCTTCCTGCTTGAGTTTATCTGCTAATGGGCAGGACTCTGTTCCCTGCTTGCCCATGTATTTTGAACAGTACCCCATTCCCCTTCCCCAGAAAGGGCTTTCCTTTGTCAAATCTTGTTTGTGTTTTGGAGGAACCAGCCTCTACTCTCTGCTTCGTGGTGTTCAGTCCCTGGCTTGGCTCCTTCGAAAACTTCTGCTCCTCTGTGAATTCAGTTGAGAGTCTGGGCAAGGGGCCTGCATTTTTTTCAACACCGATGCTATTGGGGACCCCTCTGCTCTGGAGCTGCCTCTAGCCTGGGTTGCTGGGACCTACCACTGTCTCCCCATGCTGATGGGAACCTACCTAGGATGGTCAGGCCCAGGGGCCTCTGGACTTTATCAGCAGGAACCCCAACACTGGACCCCCCCAACCCACCTTTTCGAAGGCCCTGCATCAGAGCCTCAGCTGCTCCCTCTGTCTGGGTGAAGGTGGGTGCCTGCCTTTACCAGCGCACCAGACCCAGGGCCTGAGGTTGCCCTCAGGGTTTGAACCCCCCTATCCCAACCTGGAGACCCCACTGGGTCCCCAGAAAACCCCTCCTCCACTGTGGGAACCCCAGTAAGTTTCAGACTCTCCCGAGATCCCCTTCCCCAAAGCTCTTGCCACCAGTTTAGGGGTCAGCAGAGCATCTTCAGCCCCTACCCTACTCAGTGACCTCTGTCCCCAGATCCTAGCTGATTGTACAGTATTCAGCTGGTAAGGACCTCAGCATCTACTTAGCACTTTCTGTCCCTCTGTTTCCTTGGGGATCTCTGTGATGGGATGTCTGTCCCCACCTTGCAGACAGACCTCTTGCCTCTTCCTCCTTCCTGTTCCTGCAGTTCATGCATGCTCCTGTCTCTTCTCACCTCTCTCCAGAGGACCACTGCCGGGTAAAGCCTGTGCTCCGGAGGGTTGAGGGGGACGGCCGAGGTGGGGCTGGGGGCGAGGCCTCAGACCCGGAGTCGGCTGCCTCCTCGCTCAGTGGAGTGTCTGAAGAAGGCAGTAACATCGAGAGGAAGAGGCAGAAGCAGAAAGGAGGCACCGGCCGGCGGCGATTCTCGAAGCCCAAGGCCCGGGAGAGGCAGCGGGGTGAGCAAGGCACAGAGGGTGGGGGCTTCAGCAGGGGCCTGGGGTAGGGACTTGCAGGGGTGACCTCCAAAGAGATCCCCGTCTCTCCCCAAGCCTCGGTCTCCACACCCCATCAGCAAACAGGCCAGACCTGCTTGTCTGTAGCAGCCTCCCTGTGTGGTCCTGGTTTACAGCCTCTACATTTTGGTTCACCCTCATTGCCTCCCCCCTCCCCTTTTCCAGTTGGTTCTCCTGGTCTTCCTGTACTGGGCTCCTCTCTGCTCCTTGCCTGTCTTTGCCCTCCTTGTGCTCATCTTCCTTCTTTATCCCCAGTGGCTGCTGTCCCTTACTGTCCCACTCCTCCCTCTCTGTCGCCTCACCGCGTCTCTCTCTGCCCCCGTGTCTCTCCCTTCCCCGGGGCCCCGCAGTGAAGGACGCCGACGGGGTGCTCTGCCGCTACAAGAAGATCCTGGGCACCTTCCAGAAGCTGAAGAGCATGTCTCGGGCCTTCGAGCACCACCGCGTGGATCGCAACACGGTGGCGCTGACCACGCCCATCGCAGAGCTGCTCATCGTGGCCCCCGAGAAGCTGGCGGAGGTGGGCGAGTTTGACCCTTCCAAGGAACGTCTGCTGGAGTACTCGCGCCGCTGCTTCCTGGCCCTGGACGATGAGACCCTCAAAAAGGTGCAGGCCCTCAAAAAGAGCAAGCTGCTGCTTCCCATAACTTACCGCTTCAAGCGGTGATCCCGCCCCAGCCCTGGTCCGGGACACGCCCTCCGGCCCCCAACTCCCTCCCCCTCCACCCGCCTGGCACCTGGCACCCCGAGCAAGCAAGCAAGCGCGTGCAAGAGTGGTGCACCCCTCACGAGGGTATGGGGTAGAGTGGGTGGCTTGTTTCTGCGTGTGCCTCGCTCCCTCCCCTCCTGCGGACCGCCACTCCCACCCTAGGTACCCTGTGTATAGATTTGCCTCCCTTGCCTTCCCCATTCCTAGCATCTTCTCTTTCCTCAGCATTCCCTGGGTTGAGGGGGTGGATCGATCCTCACTTTGCCAGGCTCCCAAGAACTACTGTCCAGGGGCTGGTTTCTACCCTTTCTTCAACACTGGCACCCCCTCCTCCCACTTGAGCAGCACCGTCCTGTCTTCACTGGGTCCTTCCTCCTGGGGTAACTGCGGGACTTTGCTGGCAGGGGCACTGTACATACTCCGTCCCCAGCCCCGTAGAGAGGCTGGCCCACCTGCCCGCCCTGCAAGGAGCTCCCCACCCGCATTCCGGGACCGCCCCAAATCCAAGTGAGATAGAGAATTATTCAGAGAATTTAAATTAAAAAGAGACGATAAAATTTGGAATAAACTAGACCCTGGCCTGTTCCTGAGATGGGTGGCCGCTGCCACGGAGACGATGACGGAGGCCTTAGTGGGTTCCGGGAAGCGGACGGTCATGCGGGAAACGGGGAGGCTGGGGAAGACAGGGTGTAATTAGTCTCCCGGAGGTAAGGGTGGAAGGGGGAGAAGCTGTGCTCTGGGGAACTTGGAGGGGCAGAGCTCCGGAAAAGAGGTGTGAACACTACGCGCTGGGCTACTTGGACTAGAGGCATGGCGACAGGAGGCGAGACTCAATGACCTCTGGCGAAGGCGGCCATCGTGGGGAGCGAGGCATCCCTGGGCAAAGGCATCCTCTTGCCCGCCAGGAGGCGGTAATGCGAGCTTATTTGCCTCCCGGAAGTGCCCGCTACGTCGTCTTCTGCGCCTGCGCGGCGGGAGAAGGGGGGGGCGGCGACGCTCCTGTGAGGGTGCCGCGGCAACCAGGAAAGGGCGGCCTTGCTTAACGGTTGGGAATGCAGTACCTTCCCGGGAAGAGGAGAGAGTCTCGCGCACGCGCGCTGTGGGCTCTAGAACCCGTCCATCTCCCGGAGCAGTAATAAACCTCGTCTCACATCGGCTTCTACGCAGGCGCAGAAGCCCATCTCGCTTCCCTCGCCTTTCACCCTGCGCAGGCGCAGAGAGCCGCACTGGCAACCTCCGCAGCGGCCGCGCGCTCTCTTCATCCCGCTGGCTGCTTTTTGTCTCTCGCAATCTTCTTAGGCCCTCCGCAAGATCAGCCCTTCTTTTCCTCCCCTTTCCCCACCCGGAGAGCCCGGTGCCGAGAGCCGGGACCCTACCCCTCTTCTGTTTCCCTTCCCCTAATCCACCTCGCCTCCGTTCTCCCTCCCTTTTCGGCTCCCGAAGCCGGAAGGAGCCGAAGTGCTGACGGAAAAAGCCGAAGCTGTTTCCAGTGAGTGAGGCCTTCCCGAAGCAGCAGGCGGAGGGAACCGAAGCTCTCCGAGAGGGGAGGAGTGTGCTGTTGGAATCTCCGGAAAGAGCCGAAGTTTGGAAACGAGCTTAATCTCTGGCTGGGCCCGAAGGTGAGCGCCGGAAACCTTCGGAAAGTGCCGAAGTCCGGGACGGTTAGGATTGTCGGAAGTAGTCGATTGCTTGGACAGGGCTGGTGGAGAAGAGCGGGGAGAGTCTGCGGAAGACACCAAAGACTGGGACGATTTGAATTTTCTGAAGAAGTCGAATTCTTGGTAGGGGGGCGGTGCTGGGCGCAGAGGAACGCAAGGACCTACGGAAACACCCGAACCTTGAAGAGCTAGTATCCGAAAAGTTACGAAAACCTGGGAAGCCGGCGAAATTCTCGCTTCGGGTGTTTTCGGAAGCAGCCGAAGCCGCTGCTCCCTACGCTTTCCTTTACGGCCCGGAAATAGCCGACGCGTTTCGGAGCCAGGCCCTGGGGGGAGGGGCGCCTCGCGGGAGGGCTAGTGGGGAGAGGGGCGGAGCCGGGGCGGGGCGGGCGGCCGGGGCTTGACTAGGTAGGAGGCGGCGGAACGCCGGCGGCGGCCGGAAGTAGCCGAAGCAAGCGGCGGAAGTAGCCGAAGTAGCCGGAGCAGGCGCGCGGCAAGGCGAGGCGAGAGCTGCACAGGGCCCTACGCGGCCGCCTCAGCATGTCGGACTTCGACGAGTTCGAGCGGCAGCTCAACGAGAATAAGCAAGGTGAGGGCGCCGGGGGCGCGGGGCGGCGGGCGGGGCGGCTCTTGGCTTCCCTCCGTGTTCCCCCGCCATTTC